ATATATTATATATAATATATATATTATTTATATAATATATATATATTATATATAATATATATATATATATATATATATATATATATTATATATAATATATAATTATATTTATATAATAATATATTATATATATAATATTTTATATTATATAATTACATGTAAAACTGCTTGGTGCCGAATAGGTAAAACTTGCGATTTTGGCTTAAATAGCAATGCACTAATCGCCGAATAGGGCAACCGAAAATTTGTGTATGCAATAATTTCGTAAAAATCATTCTGAACATAACGAAAAAATATATTTGATTGTGTTTGTTTATTATTAAATTATTGTAAACTTGTCTAAAATATATTTAGTTGGATTACGCTTGTTATATTAAATTGGATTAGGCTTGCTATAATAAGGTTAGGCAAGTTTTCTAAGGTTCTTTTGGTACAAAATTATTAATTTTTACATTAACATAAATGAAAAATATATCTTTAAATGTATAAGAGAAAATTTTAGAAGGAAGAACCAGTTGTGAGTGTGGGGGAAGTTCGTGAAGCAGTGGGTAGAATGAGAGGGGGAAAGACAGCTGTGGTTGATGGGATGAAGATAGAAATGTTAATGCAGTTGGGGATATAGTTTTGGAGTGGTTGGTGCAATTATTTAATAAATGTATGGAAGAGGGTAAGGTACCTAGGGATTGGCAGAGAGCATGCATAGTTGCTTTGTATAAAGGCAAAGGGGATAAAAGAGAGTGCAAAAATTATAGGGGGATAAGTCTGTTGAGTATACCTGGTAAAGTGTATGGTAGAGTTATAATTGAAAGAATTAAGAGTAAGACTGAGAATAGGATAACAGATGAACAAGGAGGCTTTAGGAAAGGTAGGGGGTGTGATGACCAGGTGTTTACAGTGAAACATATAAGTGAACAGTATTTAGATAAGGCTAAAGAGGTCTTTGTGGCATTTATGGATTTGGAAAAGGCGTATGACAGGGTGGATAGGGGGGCAATGTGGCAGATGTTACAAGTGTATGGTGTAGGAGGTAGGTTACTGAAAGCAGTGAAGAGTTTTTACGAGGATAGTGAGGCTCAAGTTAGAGTATGTAGGAAAGAGGGAAATTATTTCCCAGTAAAAGTAGTCCTTAGACAAGGATGTGTGATGTCACCGTGGTTGTTTAATATATTTATAGATGGGGTTGTAAGAGAAGTAAATGCGAGGGTCTTGGCAAGAGGCGTGGAGTTAAAAGATAAAGAATCACACATAACCTGGAGTTTACCTGGAGAGAGTTTCGGGGGTCAATGCCCCCGCGGCCCGGTCTGTGACCAGGCCTCCTGGTGGATCAGCGCCTGATCAACCAGGCTGTTGCTGCTGGCTGCACGCAAACCAACGTACGAGCCACAGCCCGGCTGATCAGGAACTGACTTTAGGTGCTTGTCCAGTGCCAGCTTGAAGACTGCCAGGGGTCTGTTGGTAATCCCCCTTATGTGTGCTGGGAGGCAGTTGAATAGTCTCGGGCCCCTGACACTTATTGTATGGTCTCTTAACGTGCTAGTGACACCCCTGCTTTTCATTGGGGGGATGGTGCATCGTCTGCCAAATCTTTTGCTTTCGTAGTGAGTGATTTTCGTGTGCAAGTTCGGTACTAGTCCCTCTAGGATTTTCCAGGTGTATATAATCATGTATTTCTCCCTCCTGCGTTCCAGGGAATACAGGTTTAGAAACCTCAAGCGCTCCCAGTAATTGAGGTGTTTTATCTCCGTTATGCGCGCCGTGAAAGTTCTCTGTACATTTTCTAGGTCGGCAATTTCACCTGCCTTGAAAGGTGCTGTTAGAGTGCAGCAATATTCCAGCCTAGATAGAACAAGTGACCTGAAGAGTGTCATCATGGGCTTGGCCTCCCTAGTTTGAAGGTTCTCATTATCCATCCTGTCATTTTTCTAGCAGATGCGATTGATACAATGTTATGGTCCTTGAAGGTGAGATCCTCCGACATAATCACTCCCAGGTCTTTGACGTTGGTGTTTCGCTCTATTTTGTGGCCAGAATTTGTTTTGTACTCTGATGAAGATTTAATTTCCTCATGTTTACCATATCTGAGTAATTGAAATTTCTCATCGTTGAACTTCATATTGTTTTCTGCAGCCCACTGAAAGATTTGGTTGATGTCCGCCTGGAGCCTTGCAGTGTCTGCAATGGAAGACACTGTCATGCAGATTCGGGTGTCATCTGCAAAGGAAGACACGGTGCTGTGGCTGACATCCTTGTCTATGTCGGATATGAGGATGAGGAACAAGATGGGAGCTAGTACTGTGCCTTGTGGAACAGAGCTTTTCACCGTAGCTGCCTCGGACTTTACTCTGTTGACGACTACTCTCTGTGTTCTGTTAGTGAGGAAATTATAGATCCATCGACCGACTTTTCCTGTTATTCCTTTAGCGCGCATTTTGTGCGCTATTACGCCATGGTCACACTTGTCGAAGGCTTTTGCAAAGTCTGTATATATTACATCTGCATTCTTTTTGTCTTCTAGTGCATTTAGGACCTTGTCGTAGTGATCCAGTAGTTGAGACAGACAGGAGCGACCTGTTCTAAACCCATGTTGCCCTGGGTTGTGTAACTGATGGGTTTCTAGATGGGTGGTGATCTTTTTCTTAGGACCCTTTCAAAGATTTTTATGATATGGGATGTTAGTGCTATTGGTCTGTAGTTCTTTGCTGTTGCTTTACTGCCCCTTTGTGGAGTGGGGCTATGTCTGTTGTTTTTAGTAACTGAGGGACGACCCCCGTGTCCATGCTCCCTCTCCATAGGATGGAAAAGGCTCGTGATAGGGGCTTCTTGCAGTTCTTGATGAACACAGAGTTCCATGAGTCTGGCCCTGGGGCAGAGTGCATGGGCATGTCATTTATCGCCTGTTCGAAGTCATTTGGCGTCAGGATAACATCGGATAGGCTTGTGTTAATCAAATTTTGTGGCTCTCTCATAAAAAAATTCATTTTGATCTTCGACTCTCAGTCTGGTTAGCGGCTTGCTAAAAACTGAGTCATATTGGGACTTGAGTAGCTCACTCATTTCCTTGCTGTCATCTGTGTAGGACCCATCTTGTTTAAGTAGGGGCCCAATACTGGGCGTTGTTCTCGATTTTGATTTGGCATAGGAGAAGAAATACTTTGGGTTTCTTTCGATTTCATTTATAGCTTTTAGTTCTTCCCGCGATTCCTGACTCCTAAAGGATTCTTTTAGCTTAAGTTCGATGCTTGCTATTTCTCTGACCAGTGTCTCCCTGCGCATTTCAGATATATTGACCTCTTTTAGCTGCTCTGTTATTCTTTTCCGTCGCCTGTAAAGGGAGCGCCTGTCTCTCTCTATTTTACATCTACTCCTCCTTTTTCTTAGAGGAATAAGCCTTGTGCATACATCGAGTGCCACCGAGTTAATCTGTTCTAGGCATAAGTTTGGGTCTGTGTTGCTTAGTATATCTTCCCAGCTTATATCGGTTAGGACTTGGTTTACTTGGTCCCACTTTATGTTTTTGTTATTGAAGTTGAATTTGGTGAATGCTCCCTCGTGACTAGTCTCATTTTGTCGGTCTGGGGCTCCTCGCATACATGTCTGAACCTCAATTATGTTGTGATCTGAGTATATTGTTTTTGATATGGTGACATTTCTTATCAGATCATCATTGTTAGTGGGAGTTGTCACAGTTGCTCTTTGCTGATGACACTGTGCTCTTGGGAGATTCTGAAGAGAAGTTGCAGAGGTTGGTGGATGAATTTGGTAGGGTATGCAAAAGAAGAAAATTAAAAGTGAATATAGGAAAGAGTAAGGTGATGAGGATAACAAAAAAGATTAGGTGACAAAAGATTGGATATCACATTGGCGGAAGAGAGTATGGAGGAGGTGAATGTATTCAGATATTTGGGGGGTGGACGTGTCAGCAGATGGGTCTATGAAGGATGAGATGAATCATAGAATTGATGAGGGGAAAAGGGTGAGTGGTGCACTTAGGAGTCTGTGGAGACAAAGAACTTTGTCCGTGGAAGCAAAGAGGGAAATGTATGAGAGTATAGTTTTACCAACGCTCTTATATGGGTGTGAAGCATGGGTGGTGATGATAGATATATATATATATATATATATATATATATATATATATATATATATATATATATATATATATATATATATATATATATATATATATATATATATATATATATATATATGACATGATCAGTCCAACAGTCAGTATTCCACTGAAGAAGCCTGCTGTGGGCGAACCCATATCACAAATGGTACACAAGAATTTCTCTTTTGTTTCCTGTACAGTACTGTCATAATTGGATTTTTTTTATCTTCCTCTCTCCCTTTCGCACATTTCGCCCATACATAGCCACCCATTCGCAGATGTGCTTGTTCCTGTGTAGCTTGTGACGTGTCGCTAACTGTGAAACATGTTTTAACAGGTTTCTCTTGGTTTAGGTTATTTCACCTTCATGATATTTTTATCATTACCGATGTGCCTGTAGGGACTCTGGGAACTTTTAGGAGAGCCTGTTGACATTAATAATTAATGAGGTTTTAATTGATGGTGGTGGTTTTAATTTGATATGATAAGTGTTTATCTTGGGTGCTTTATTGCTTTTTTATTTTATATTATTTTGCATGTATGTATATATTTTTATAGCTGTGAGCCCTAAGTGATCTACACAGACTTTTGTTACTACATCTCTTTATCTCTCCCACTCTCCCTCCCTCCCTACCTTTTTCTCCCTCCTTCCCTCCCTCCATGCCTCTTTCCCTCCCTACCTCTTTTCCCCTTCCTACCTTTTTTTCTCCTTCCTACCTCTTTCCCTCTTTACTTTTCCCCCCTCCCTCCCCCTTCTACTTCTTAAACTGAATGTCCAAAATGAATTTAAGACCTCACATAAATTATATTAAGAGAAGATAACATACCTAGCATGGGCCAGTAGGCCTGCTGCAGTGTTCCCTCATTTTCAAGTTGTCATCTTCCACAGGGACTACGCACTGAAGCAGCCTTCACCGATCCGTCGCCAGAAGATCCTGTCCTTCCTGGACCTGCTGCTAGCTATGACCTTACACAGGACTCTGGCCCGCACTGCTACCACCAACACCAGTCTCACACACCCTACACTCGCACATGCTGCCTCTAAGACCAGCCTGGCACTCAAGTACGTCTTGCCAATAATATGCTTTCCATACTAGTGGCTTTCTTTTGTTGCCTGTCAGTGTTTTCTTACATTATTTGTACCACATAAAAAATTAAAATTTGTATTTGTATCTCTCAGGATAGCATAAACTAACCACATTGATTCAACGAGGGATTTATTATAAGTACTATACTGTATATTTCAGCCTTATACTGAGGCCATATTAAGCAAAGTAAGGTACTCTGTACATATTATGTATTGTTCCATTGTCTGCACACGAGTTTATGCTCTGCTCTTGTGCGTGTTCAAGTCTCTCATAATACTTGAATAGAAATGATTTTCAGCTTGTCCTATATTTTGTAGTGTTATTATTTATTCCAATTATTTTCACAATCAGCATGTCTCTCGTGACAACTAATGCTTAATTTGGTGAAAGGAATTTTTTTTTTCTTAGTCATCTTGAGAATTGTGTAGTTTAGTTTTGCTTTTTGACTTGTAGATTTGTTGAACAATTTATATAGCAGGTACTTTTAAGATTTTTTAATCAGTGACTTGTTTGCGGTCCTTAGGTTATAATTGTTTTTTTTTTAACTGGCAATCCATTCATATTAACTTTTTTTTTCCTTTTTCTTCCCCAGAATTATTAGCTCCTGTTGCTTCTACAAGTAAGATTGCTTTTCGCCTTCTCTTCTTTATCGTCTGTCTTAGTCAAATAATAAATAACTGATAGACTTTTTATTTTTTTATTATTTTTTTTATTATCACACTGGCTGATTCCCACCAAGGCAGGGTGGCCCGAAAAAGAAAAACTTTCACCATCATTCACTCCATCACTGTCTTGCCAGAAGGGTGCTTTACACTACAGTTTTTAAACTGCAACATTAACACCCCTCCTTCAGAGTGCAGGCACTGTACTTCCCATCTCCAGGACTCAAGTCCGGCCTGCCGGTTTCCCTGAATCCCTTCATAAATGTTACTTTGCTCACACTCCAACAGCACGTCAAGTATTAAAAACCATTTGTCTCCATTCACTCCTATCAAACACGCTCACGCATGCCTGCTGGAAGTCCAAGCCCCTCGCACACAAAACCTCCTTTACCCCCTCCCTCCAACCTTTCCTAGGCCGACCCCTACCCCGCCTTCCTTCCACTACAGACTGATACACTTTTCTTGATTAAAATGAAAGTTATTGGGCAAATAACAGAAGCTTTATAATGATGACGTACATTATGGACATCAGAACCTCTAGTGATAATAGTGCATACCTCAGTGTAAATAAAGTAAAGGTCATCATCCTGTCATATATGTATCACCAAGCTACTGAGTGGCTCATAGCTCCATCCTGGGTTTAACCATAGGACGAGGGGGTTGTTGGAGGTGGTGAATGTTTCCTTACACTTGTTGCTTCTCATGTAGCAGTTGTAGGCACCTAGGTGTTAGCAGACTGTTGTGGGTCACATCCTGGGGAAGAGAACCAAAGGACCCATTGCAAATAAGCCATGCCCTTGGGGTTAGTAATCCTCCAGGCTTAATAAAATAACTTGCCTGCTTTTCCCTGGCTTGTGAGGATGTGCAAGAGCACTAGTTAAAATACCATAAGATTGGTATAGTCAGCTCTGGGTAATTTAATATTAATTAAAATATGTAAAATCCATATTGGGGATGTATCTCTTAAATATTAAGAATATTACTTCTCTATTGACTCTGTCCAGAGTTTTGGGACACTTTACACACCAACATTGTCACTTGCAGGTTACTGACGTCGCTTCCAGGGTACTAACGTCACTCCCAGACTCACGAAATTGTAATAACACGATTGCAAATAAATCATGGAATGGGTGGGGCTTGAACCCATGACAAGCGAGTCCTAAAATTCACAGGGCAGTGCATTAACCACTCGGCCAGCCAACTCGGGCCAAGTGGTTAATCCACCTGTTCCATGATTTGTCACTTCCAGGGTCCTAACATTGCTGTTTTTGGGATACAAATGTCTTCACTTTTCGGATACTAATGATATAACATACAGGATACTAAAGTTGCCATTTCTAGGTACTAATGTTGTAATATCCAGGGTACTAATGATATAACTTCTAAAATACTGTACTAATGTCACTTCTAGGATACTAACATAACTTCCAGAATACTAATGTTGTTACTTCCGGAGTACTAATGTTATCATTTCCAGTACACTAAAGTTGTCACTCCAAGAGGGGGCTGGAAGCAAACATAATGTAGTGACATAATGTGATGTGTAGAAGTACATTCTAGTGTGTTGTCCACATGCAAATATATTATGCTTGTTTCAGACGTCAGGGAAGTCTAGCAAGTGTGTGGGGTGCATGTATCACCGAGGGGGACACCACTTCTCCCCGTTCACAGCCTTACACAGGAGTCTCCTCCAACCTACACAAGGTCATACTCCTATATATTATATAAGTACTCTCCTGATTTGTGATGAAATATCAAAGATGATAAATTGTGGAACCCCACATGGAGGCAGAAACAGTGTAATGAGAGATTGTATATGTACGTATATTTATCTTCGATTTTCTGCTAACGATGATCTATCTTGACTCGCAAAATCGTAATGACACGATTGCAAACAAACCATACCATGGGTGGGGATGGAACCCGCAGTCAGTCATAAAACTCCAGACCAATGCGTTAGCCACTGGGCCAGCTGGCGTTTTATCACTCTTGACCGCAGGTTCTATCCCTGCCCGTGGTATGGTTAAGATCTATCTTTGTGTTCGTCTCCGTGTGAGTTTCCTCAGTTCACTGACTTGTATTTGCGTGAGTCATGTATCTGATTCCTCCTGGATGACTATAACTGGCATTACAGGTTTTTGGCATTGTGTATTAAAATTTGAATTTAATAGTACTATTGTACATCTTGGACCCATTCTTTGGTATGTCTGAAAATATACACTAATGTTAACATTGGTAATAGTTTGGACATGTATTAACAAAATTTTAAGATTTGTCTGCTCGCCTTCAGCTATGATTATTAATTAAATACTGCTTATTACCATTTATTTGTTGTATAATATTTTGACAAATGTACACAAGGGTCATCAGGATTCTCAATAAAGAGCTTCACTCTTTCAGACTGTTTCGTGTCATCTTCTGGAACAGATGTATGTTTCCACCTCCCTGCCTCTCCTCACACCAGCTGACCTCAAGAGACCTGAGGAGGCAAGCATCGCTTACACGTGAGTTATTCTGCTGTACCAGGTATACCTGGAATCTACCTGGAAGTTGTTTTTGGGGGCCAGCATCCCTGTAGCACAGACCATGATGAAGCCTCACAATGGATTAGGGCCTGATTAACCAGGCTGTTGCTGCTGGCCACATGCAATCCAGAATATGAACCACAGCCTGGCTGGTCAGGTACTGATTAGGTATCTCTCCAGCTCCCTTTTGAAGACAGCCAGGGGTTCCATCTGTTCCAGTGAAATATTTCCATATTATAAATTAACCTAAACTGTACCACTGTTTGTAATTACAGTATGTAAGTTTTATAAGCTAAATTTAAAACTGCAATTAATGTACTCGCTAACTCATCAACATTCAAATAATAACCTGTTATTGCTTTCCTAATCTTAAGTTAATATTAAGTTTGCTCAAAATGCTCCGAATACAAAGGGACTTTTGGCATGTACACCCAACTATTATATTCTTTTGTACAACTATGTATTGTCAAAATTATTAATATTATTATTATTATTATTATTATTTATTATTATTATTATTATTATTATTATTATTATTATTATTATTATTATTATTATAATACCCCCAAGTATGCTGGGAGGTATATATCTTAAACTTTGGCTCGTGGCCTGGTAGGCAAAGCTCTCCACTTCATACGGTGAGGGTCCAGATTCGATTCCCGGCAAGGGTGGAAACATTGGGCGTGTTTCCTTACACCGGTTGTCCCTGTTCACCCATCAGTAAAATGAATACCTGGTGTTAGTCAACTGGTGTGGGTTGCATCCTGGGACAAAATTGACCCAATTTGCCTGAAATGCTGTACATAACAAGGGACTTTCTATATAGTAGTACAAATAATCCTAACAGTAATTACCATTACTACACTGCTAGTCGGGTTAATACCCTTCTCAGTGCCAGCAAGAATATTACAGTCTTCAACTATGTTAGATCATTGAGTAAACACTATGATGCCCTCCTTGCATTACTGAAGTCTCTATGTGCTACTGTAACTTTAATATTCTTACTGAAACCTGGCTTAGACAAGATTTGACAGATATATTTACCATACCTGGTTACACAGCCATACATAACTGCAGACCAGACCAACCAGGAGGAGGCACTGCCATCTATTACTCTGATGAACTAGAATGTATTAAATCTACTAACATACGGGATGAAAAGGACGAATATATAATAGCTAAATTCACGTCAAAAACCCTTATGAAACCTATAACGGTTGGCACAGTCTACAGATTACTACGCATAAGTACTTAAACTTTTAGCAGTAATCTTAGAAACACGATAACTGAGTCAGTTGAATAAACACCATTTGATACTTGCAGGAGATTTCAACATAAACCTCATCCAAGCAACTGACCCTCCAGTAGCTGATTTCACAAACACTATGAACAACAGCTTGTTGCTACCCTCTATAACTAAGCCAACAAGAATCTCTGAGACAAGTGCCTCATTACTTGACCATATCTGGACCAACACGATATCTCCACTACAAGCAGGTATTATCACAGACAACACCACAGACCACTACCCTACCTTTCTCATGACCAACTTACGTAAATTGCCTCAAGAAACAAGAAAGATCTCATTTCGCCTGCATGATGAGACATCGGTAAACAACCTAATACTAGCACTAGGTGCCATTGATTGGCAGAGGGAGCTAGCTGACAGCAATAATATTGACAAAGATGTCAAATTTTTTTTACATAAAACCCTAGACCTCTGTAACAAGCATTGTCCAATCAAAATGAAACAAATCACAGAAAAGAGACTAAACAGTCAATGGCTAACAAAAAGTATCCTCAAATTTATTAATAAAAAACACCAACTTGAAAAACAGTTCAGATTAGGCCTAATTACTAAAGAATTAACTAACGATACACATCAATATTCACAAAACTAATATGAAAATCAAAGCAAATGTATTATGAAAATAGATTTTTTGAAATAAAAGGTGATGTGAAAAGTACCTGGCAAATCCTCTCCAAAATTTTGGGCTCTAGGAAACCATCTGGAAATAGAGAGAGAAACTAATTTAATATCTTCTTTTCTATTGTAGGATCAAAGCTAGCAAGTCAAATTCCCAGCCCAAATACCCAGCCGAACGAGTACCTCACTGGCAACTACCCAAATACTCTTTTTCTCTCTCCAACTAATTCCACTGAAGTCTCACTTGTCATTAAACCATTAAAAACAAAGGTGATCTAGATAACTTGCCACCATTCCTATATAAAAAACCTGCATATGAGCTGCCACCCATCATTGCAACAATGTTTAACAAATCTGTAGCATCCTCAACCTTCCCATCTATACTCAAGACAGCAAGGGTTACCCCAATCCTCAAAGGAGGTGATCCAACTGACTTGAACAACTATAGACCCATATCAAACTTGCCCTTACTTTCCAAGATATTCGAAAAAAAATACACAAGTGACTTTACTCCTACTTTACATCCAGCAACATACTTAACCCCTGCCAGTTTGGGTTTAGACCAAAAAAAAAAGTACGAATGACACTATTATGCACAGCTCATGATAAAAATGAATATCCTCTGGGGCTCTTCATCGACCTATGAAAAGCATTTAATACAGTCGACCACAATCTCTTGCACCTAAAACTGAATCATTACGGCATCAGAGGACATTCTCTTGACTACCTAAAATCCTATCTTAATGACAGACACCAGTATGTATATGTAAATGGAGTCCGCTGTCCAACCTGTAGTTTTTGGAGTACCCCAGGGTAGTGTCCTGGGCCTCCCACTCTTTCTCATCTACATCAGTGATCTCCCCAATGCATCCTAACTCCTTAAACCAGTTCTATTCGCAGACGACACTACTTATGCCTACTCCCATTCAGACCCACTGTAAACAATGAGCTGCTAAAGATATATACTTGGATGATGACCAACAAACTCGCTCTCAACATAAATAAAACATACATCATGCTGTTTGGCAACAGAGCCTTAAATATCCAGCTTAATATATTGATACATGGTTCCCCTATATCAAGACACATGGAGGGCAAATTTCTAGGTCTTCTCCTTGACTGTAATCTTAAATTTCAGTCCCACCAGAGGCGTCGTAAGGGGGGGGGTGGGGGGCCTCCCCGGGTGACACCATATAGGGGGTGACACCATAGAGCCTCTAAAGAAGGTGACGCTAATGTACAAAACAGTGCTGCACCAACATAAGAGAAGAATCCTTCGTTTCTATATAGCCTATTATATATTTAAGTACAGATAAGCCTATATAGGGAAAATCATCGATTTTGATGATGTGATAGAGGATTTTGCATACTTGAAGGCAAGAAAATGTAAGATCAGATTCACCGAGATGTTACCTGTACTCAGGGTCAAATCGGAACAAGTGTTTCTCTGATATTGCAATGTTTTTCTTTATTTTTCAAGTTTTTTTTTGTTTTTGCATTGTTGAAGCTGAATAAATGTAGGATCTGTTGCCTGTACTCAAAGTGGTATTTGAGTTTGTTTCCTCAATATTCTCCTGTTTGGTTTATGGCCCTTAAATGCTCTCATTGCTAAACATTAGTCACTCACTGGTCATGCAGTAGTGACATAACTGGAGTTTACCCCCCCATCCCCCCATCCTTGAATTTCATGGGGGTGACACCAAAGATGCTGCCCCGGGTGACACCAGAGATTCCGCCCCGGGTGACACCAACTCTAGTGACGCCTCTGAGTCCCACACCCATCACATAGCCAAGAGAATTCCCAAATCAATAGGAATCCTTTCCAAGATACTATACTGTGTACCACAAATGACACTCCTTACCCTATACCCCACTCTAATATATCCTTACCTCAAATATGGTATTTGTGCCTGGGGCTCAACCACAGCCAACCACCTTAGGCCCTTAATAATCTAACAAAAAGCTGCTGTGCGGGTGATAACCAGCACCTGTGCTAGATAGCACACCCCACCACTTTTCAAAAGATTAAACTTGCTAAATATACAAGACGTACACTCTTATTATTGTGCCTACTACATATACAGATCATTAAACTCCACTGTAAATCCTCCACTAAAGCTACTCCTTGACAGTTACAACAGAATGCACAGCCACAATACAAGGCATAAGGCACTTTTCAACATCCCTTGAGTCAGTCTCTCACTATGCAAGAATGCTATGCACATGAACCTCTTCAAGGGGGGCTCCTTGGCGTGGTGAAGAGGCTTTTGGTCTGAGGAATTAGACCTGTTGGTCTCCTTCCTCAGACCGAACCTAATTACCCCCCAATCCCCCGTTCCCTATCCCATCCTCCCCATCCTCCCCTTTTTCCTTTCCTCCTCCTCCTCCCCACCCCTCCCTTTTGCCCTTCCTTTTTGGCCTTTGGGATTTTTTTTTTTTTTTGTTTTTTTTTTCCCCACAGGCACGCTAGTTCCTAAGTAGGGGAAAGGGTACCGGGGTCCATCCCATTCCATTAAGGTTGTTGGCGGTGGCGTAATTTGTCATGGAATCTGGATTGCCTGGGGATGTCCCAATCCCTCTCTGGTATCCTGGAGGGTGGCTTTGAGTGTCTCTCGGGCGACGGGTGTATCTCTGGAAGCCACCTTTCGGATTCCGGGGGTGGTGGCCGAAGGAGGTATGCTTTGTGGCGGATTTCCGGCCGCCCTCTCTTTTGTCCACCGAGGTAGCTCGGCAGATGTGAGGTTGCTATCCCGGATTGCCAGTTTACTGGCATGATGGGTAGGGTATGGCACGGGTTCCATGCTGCATCTGCACTACTTGCGGTGCTGAGGTCCTCTTGGGCGTGGAGGGAGATTTCTGGCCCTTTCATTCCTCCTAGGAACTATCCCTCCCTGGTCCCCCCTTTTTTTATTCTTTTTTTTATTTTTATTTTCTTTTCTTTCTTTTTTTCTTAAAAACAAAAAGAAAGAAGTAACCTAACCATGGCAGCCCTAGTCCATGAACTTGCTACCCCCGGGCCCCTTCTTGATACCGCACCCCGTTCTGACCCCGC